AGAGACAGAGACAGACAGACAGACAGACAGACAGACAGACAGACAGACAGACAGACAGACAGACAAAGAAAGAATGAAAGACAGAAATAAAGAGATAGGTAGACAGAAAAGAGTAAGCGAGAATACAAAGTGTTTCTCCCGGCACAGAGCTAATGAGCTCCCAGTTATTCCACCAACATCACGTGACCAGCCTGAACATGGAAAGGTCTGGATGTAAAAAAACAAATGTATATTGACCAAAACCCGGGCAAACCCCTCCTGTCTATTGACTCTCCCCACACTACCACATCAGGGAAATCTACCACTGCTTTAACTCATTTAACGCGAGCGTCTCCCACACTTAGAAGACGCGCAGCTTTAGGGTACTTTACAGAAAGAAGTGCAACTTCATTTTAATTCATAAAAATTTTTCAATTTCATTTTCTCATCTGAAACTTACACCAAAAAAGACAGGCAATGACGAGCATACTGTGAAATACATAGTCAAATTTGTGTTTCTGTTTAGCTTTAATTAGAGTTTTACGGCGCTTGGGTCCCAATAAGTTGATATAAGTGCCTGAAGATTAGAGGCGTTACAAGAGTAACAACAAACACAAAAAAAGTAGGCGAAATAAGGACGACTGACGTTTGATAGAAAAGAAGGCTCAAACCACACCAGAGCACCCACCGACAACCAATTACATGCGAGTTACTGATTTGTGTATTTAGGTTCAAAATGTGCCGCAACATTGCCTTTGGTCATAGCTGATCAGACATTAACTATTGTGCGTCCGTTGTGTCGTGAAAGAGTTAAGGGCGAGAAATCCACACTAAGCCATCCCAAAATGTTCAGGTAATTTGCATGAAATCTTGACTTGCATTTTCCCCATTCTCGAGCGGCATGTCACCCAGACACGTGACCCGCGTGACGTCAGTCAATGTCATGCAATGTCAGGGCTGTGTCGGGTCGTCTGATCGAATGACGTGTGATCTGTCTGTCCGGTCAGTCGTCTGATACTCCAGTAGCAGGTGAGTGCACGTGTTGGCGGACATCGTGAGGTGGGGAAAGATCAAGACGACAGGCTGTATTTCTCCATTCCATCTCTGTTTCTCTGTCTGTCTGTCGGTCTGTTTGGTCTCTGTCTCTGTCTCTGTCTCTGTCTCTGTCTCTGTCTCTCTCTCTCTCTCTCTCTCTCTCTCTCTCTCTCTCTCTCTCTCTCTCT